ACGTTGAGCCTTCCAACCGTACACACAGGGCTGTCACACTAGGTTCCCTGGCGGGTAACTGCCGACTGACGTTGAGCCTTCCAACCGTAGACACAGGGCTGTAGCAGGGGTGTTCGTTAAACAGACCCACAACATGGAAGTTGCTCCTCAAACGCATTATGAAGAAATCCATTTTATTGACAAGAAAGGCCCACAGAAATGCCGACCCTGGTGTTCATCTTCCATGTGTTTTGTTGTGCTTATTTTATCGATGTTTTTAAATGGAGGATTGGGTGCATTTATTGTCTACAAGATGACACACAAAGAGCATGGTGCGCCGTTTGCTACAGGCGAGGTTAAGCGACCGGATATTGCTGATTCTGTCTGTGTGTCATGTGACTCTCTGAACGTCCCTGACCTTTCAAGATCACCTTTGGAGAATCAGGTCAAGGTCGTTATGCTGGGTCAAGGTTCATTTTGCTGTATGGAGAATACTGAGAGTCTCGGGATGTATATGAATATTGTAAGTGTTCTAAATAATCATATCCAAGAATACATAATTCTGCACCACAGGTGGCTGGCTAATCGTCTTCTAGGTCAAGGACATTCAAAAGCTCTGCATGTAAATATGTCTTTGAAGGACGGTTATGCTGTTATAATCTATGAAAGGTGTTGTAAGTAAAATAATCATTGCACATATTTCTTTTGTGTTTAGGTAGTCGGAGAATATTACCATGACCTCAACGGTGACAACAGAGGTGGTGACCTTGACATCAACCATGACAGACCGGCGGCGCATCTGTATCTTGATACAAACAGCGTCACAGGTCTGTATGCTTCGTTAAGTCCAATGTTTCACTCACTCACACACTGATTGAAGAATTAAACAAGACCACATGATAATGATTGACGTTGCAACAGTACAAAGCCTTAACCTCGACTCACTCACTCACTCACAAACAAGCATATGGTTTGAGGTAACATATATAGAGACTAATATAATGTCATGAATTTAGTAATGGTGTATTTCAAGGTATACAAAGAGAAAAATAATATGATCACTATTAACAGTGAACACGATTTGGTCATTTGTAGAATAGGGACCTGTTTTACAGTACATAAACAAGCCTACTCTTCAGAACCCCAATGGCGTTCCGTTTGGGTACACGGCAACTATCTTCTGCACAACAACACACCCGCTACATACTTGTGAATAAGCCGCAGATAAGATTTGATCAAACTTCTTGCTTTGCACACATTAATATTTCAAACAACGAGTGTCGTACACAAACAGGGAGTCCGGTGCATGTTTGCTGACATGCTATATATAAACATCCTCTACAGTTGTTAAGTTAGTGGACCCTTTTAACCGCTACCAGGAAGTCACACACGCCATTGCGCATAGGGGATTTCTCAGAACTGACACGCGATCTGAATATCGTTACAAGGAAGTTGAAAACTTCTTATTCAAATACTGTGAGTGGGGACTGTATTCAGGGTACAGTTTACTCGTTCTTACGCTAGGTATGGTCTGAAAGCTTCAGTTATTAAGTACAGTACACAGTATCAACTGAATCAGAATAATGTTTTCAATGTCGCCTGATCCGGGTGGCTGTGTCATCTGAGTCTCCTCAAATCTCTGTGTGACAGGATCTCACTCACTCACTCACTCACTCATTGGCCCGATCAACCACTCACCCCAAAAACGCCGCATTATTCACTCACTCACCCACCTACCAACCCACCCACTCACTCACTTACTGACCCAACTGACCCACCCAGTCACTCAACGACCCACCCACTGACTCACCCACCCAGTAACCCACCCACTCTCTCCCCCACTCAACGACCCACCCACCAAATCATTCATACAAAACCCAAACATCCACCCACCCACTGATTCACCCACTCTCCCACTCTCTCCCCCACCCACCGACCCACCCACCGACCCACCCACCAAATCATTCATACAAAACCCAAACATCCACCCACCCACTGATTCACCCACTCTCCTACTCTCTCCCCCACTCACACACCTACCCACTCACTCATTCATCCCAAGCCCAAACACCCACTCACCGACCCAATAACCAACTCAATCATTCATACAAAACCCAAACATCCACCCACCCACTGATTCACCCACTCTCCTACTCTCTCCCCCACTCACACACCTACCCACTCACTCATTCATCCCAAGCCCAAACACCCACTCACCGACCCAACAACCAACTCAATCATTCACACAAAACTCAAACATCCACCAACCCACTCACACACCCACCGACCCCCTCACTTACTGACCCAAATGACCCACCAATTCACTCAACCACCCACTCACTCACCGACCCACCCACCAACTCACTCATTCATCCAAAATCCAAACAACCACCCACCCACTGACCTACCCACCCAGTCACCCTTCCGCTCTCTCACCCACTCACCGACCCACCCACCAACTCACTCATTCCTACAAAACCCAAACATCCACCCACCCACTGACTCACCCACCCAGTCACCCAACCACTCTCTCCCACACTCACCGACCCACCCACCAACTCACTCATTCCTACAAAATCCAAACAACCAGCCACCCACTGACTCACCCATCCAGTCACCCTTCCACTCTCTCACCCACTCACCGACCCACCCACCAACTCACTCATTCCTACAAAACCCAAATATCCACCCACTCAACCACTCTCTTCCCCACTCACACACCTACCAACTCACTCATTCATCCCAAACCCAAACATCCACCTTACCCACTCACTCACCCACCCGCTTACCCACTCACTTACTGACTCAACTAACCCAGCCACTCACTCCCTCAATCACTCACTCCCATTTCTCTGTGTGCCAGAATCTAATGCACGCACCCACTCACTCACTCACCACACTGATTAAAAGTCTACAAATTATGACTTTATTTCTCTTCCCATCAGATCAACATCTCCAGTGGGACTCCTCCCCTGGGTATGGGACGGCACACGTGACTGGGAATGTTACCTATAGCAACGGACGTCTACATGTGCCACGTGACGGCGTGTACTACATCTACTCCTTCCTTACAATACGTAGCGACGTCGTCACAAACGACGACCTGAACATTGTCCACAGCGTCCAGAAGTACAACTCTGACCACATAGACACAGACAGCCACCTTCTCCTCATGGGCAAGACGACATTGAAGGAAAGACATGGGCAGTTCACCAACAGTTTCTTGGCGGCAAATTTGAAATTGAAAAAGAATGATGAACTATTTGTCAGCTTGTCAAACACGTCCTTGATATACAAATTTCCTCCTGCTAATTATTTTGGCGTCCACATGTTGTAATATCAGTTTAGAAATGTGTCCAAAAACAAGATATAACCGTCACATCAATATGAATAACTATAATTCAAGCTTCGTATCATTTTAACAGGGATGGTCGGGTAGCCTTGTGGTTTAAGCGTTCGCTCGTCGCGCCGAGGACCCGGGTTCGATTTCCGACATGGGTACAATGTGTGAAGCCCATTCTGATGTAACCCGCCGATATATTGCTGGAATATTGCTAAAGGTGGCGTAAAACCATACTCACTCACTCACTCAATTTACCTCTAAAGGAAGTCATCGAGATCTACTCAACGGCTAGAAGATGGTAAGACCAAAATATGAAGATTGGAATTCCCTGTCTGCACCAGCACCCGTATCATACTTCCGCTTATGGTTTATGTTAAGCTACTAAAGGCACGTTTAGAAATTAAGCAGCACTTGGAATGAGCTTCAGTTGCTACCTTTAAAGTCGCAGTAGTGGTTAATGGTCTAATTGCCTGCTACTCACTCTCTAGATTTACCTCCCTTAGTTGCCTAGGGACCTGCTGATCTCGATTATAATCCTTGACATGCCTGTGTCACTCGCTGGTAATCCTGTCGAGTGAAGCTTTGCAGAAATACTCTCGAAAGCGTCTCAATCATTCTGGTGATTATCTTCGATTGGTGAATGACGGACCATATCTACATTCCACCATAATACACAAGTCATACTTTGCTATTTTAGTATTGTAGTATTTCATCTGATTGTAGAAAAAACAGGACCATATCTACATTCCACCATAATACAAAAGTCCTACTTTGTTAGTTGAGTATTGTAGTATTTCATCTGATTGTAGAAACACATAATTAAGTCTCCAATGCGACCTATCATTATGGCGCACGTTTTGTTCACGGGGATTATAACTGCGACCGACTCTCTTGCTAAGACTAACAGCTGCAATGCTTGCTATAACCATTTTTTAGTTACTCGCGTTGTACAGTCAGTTCATTGTTATTGGGAATGTATTGTTGTGATGTGCAGTCCCACATGGGAATAAAGAGTATAAATTCCAACGACAATTGTCTAGTTGTATGTGCTACCTTCAAGACAGGACATGCTTAACCATTTCGCGAACACCAAGTGATTTTCATCGTCCATACATGTAATATCCATCAGTGTTTTGCCTGTGATATCCAGTGATATCTGTTTCGGCGGGGGTCTAGTTATTCTCTGACGTTGGTGTTGTATATATGTTTGAGATGGTGGTTAATCCTCTATACCCATCAGTGTTTTGCCTGTGACACCCACTGATATCTGTTTCGGCGGGGGTCTTGTTATTCTCTGACGTTGGTGTTGTATATATGTTTGAGATGGTGGTTAATCCTCTATATCCATCAGTGTTTTGCCTGTGATATCCACTGATATCTGTTTCGGCGGGGATCTGGTTATTCTCTGACGTTGGTGTTGTATATATGTTTTAGATGGTGGTTAATCCTCTATATCCATCAGTGTTTTGCCTGTGATATCCACTGATATCTGTTTCGGCGGGGATCTGGTTATTCTCTGACGCTGGTGGTGTATATATGTGGTGTATATATGTTTGAGATGGTGGTTAATCCTCTATATCCATCAGTGTTTTGCCTTTGACACCCACTGATATATGTTTCGGCGGGGGTCTGGTTATTCTCTGACGTTGGTGGTGTATATATGTTTGAGGTGGGAGTATTTAGTTGCAGTCATTGTTGTTACGATTCTAAAACTCCAAGAACCATGAAGGTATTTGGTCTTGTCAAGAGATGTCTGAACTTTGACATCTGTGACAAAAGAACTTCGTCAATTAAATTAGAACGTATAAGGTACACACCGTGGCAGTATAAAACAAGAATCCCTACTTACAAAATGTACAGAATATTAAGGTTGTTCCGGGAAAATGTGTGTATGTGTGTGTGTGTGTGTGGTGGGGAAGACGGGGGTGGGGGGTGGTGGGTGGTGGAGGGTAATTAATGCTGCATTTTGTATAAAATCACATGAATTCACATAAAATAGCACATATGTCTATGTATAATGCATACCGTTACCGCAAAAGTAATTTCAAGTGTCTAATACAATTGAAATAACTATTGTACCGGACGTCAAGGACCCAGGTTTATTTTGGGGGTGTCGGTATAATTCGTAACTCATTCGTTACTTTCCATGCATTGTCATCTCATGATTTAGGTTAACTGAAGTGGTCAATAAACTTATTCCCGAATATATAATGTAAGCATTTTTTCAAAGTTGTTAGTCGCGTACATTAATGCTCTCTTCACACACGGTGACAAGGCTGAAATACTAGTCAATGCGGTATTAAGCCCAACTCACTCACTCACTAACTCACCGACTCACTCACTCACTCACTCACACAAAAGGTTTGAGGTAGCATATATAGACACTTATATAATCTCGAAGAGGGGCGTCCAACCCGGCGTTTAAAACGACATCCAACCGAACAATCATTTTATTGTTAACCGCACACGTCATCAAAAACAAGGGGGATCTCCCTACTGGTGTTAACACCCCTGCAATATTTGATCAAATGCGCGTCGTATGAATTCAATAAAATATGAGTTGTATTTTTATTTAAACCCTTTTATGACATGGAATCAAGTTGTCACGATAACGTGGTTTCCAGTGGCTTTACCCTTCCTTCTGAGTGTTGTTAAATGTGATCGATGAGCTCAGTTCACACACGTTCATGACATGTGTGATATATTACACAGTTAAACTGAAGAGCTAAAACCCCACTTTGAAATAGGACGGTCATTGCCAAACACGCTATCACAAATTCACAACATGGTGATCTATATCCGCCTTGCTAAATACCACTGTAATTCGATGGCCAGGTCATTGATTACACAACAATCACTAGTTTCTCTGGTACATTTTTTTAAATATACATCTCTTTACATCAAGTCACAATATCCTTCGACCGCCTCCGTGGTCTAGTGGTAGAGCGTCCGCCCGGAGAGCGGAAGGTCCGGGGTTCGATCCCCGGCCGCGTCATACCAAAAGACGTTAAAAGATGGTACTTGTTGTTACCCTGTCTGGCGCTCGGCATTAAGGGGTTAAAGCGAGGACTGGTCGGCTCGGAGTCAGTATACTGTGTCTGAGTTGGGTGTTCATGTTAAACTGCGGCATGGCTAGCACTATAAATCGGCATCAGTCCGGTCTAGTACAAGCAGCCACACACACACACGTGCACGTCGCTATATAAGTGCAATAATCTTCGACGCGACGTTAAACCCCATTTCACCTCACCTCACCACAATATCCTTCCAATCTAGTAGACGCCATTCACACAATGAGCCGCATCGCTAAATGTACCTGTCGGGTGTGAACATTGTCAAAAATCGAATCCGGCCAGCCAAACCAGTGGTTGATATCATGAACAACTATCCACGCCATTGGGTTTGTGATCACCCCATCGTCAGCATCAGGTACTGGGGATCTATTTTGTCCCAGAACCCCCGATAACCCGATTGCAACGTTGGTTCAAATCCCAGTTCGCTGTGATTGTTTCTTGGGTTGTCAGCACCATACCCACGGCGTTAAATCCAACTCACTCGCTCACCCACAGCACGACTGCTACGACTGAATAAAACTACTACCACTCATTAGTTATCAGGTATACATGACTATGAACATCTATTACATGCTGATGGCGGCCCGCGAAGATCCGGAGTAGAATAGGTCTTCAGCAATCCATGCTTGTCTCCCCGTGAAGATTCGGGGGAGAATAGGTCTTCAGCAATCCATGCTTGTCTCCCCGTGAAGATTCGGGGGAGAATAGGTCTTCAGCAATCCATGCTTGTCTCCCCGTGAAGATTCGGGGGAGAATAGGTCTTCAGCAATCCATGCTTGCCGTAAAAGTCGGCTATGCTTGTCGTAAGAGGCGACTAACGGGATCGGGTGGTCAGGCTCGCTGACTTGGTTGACGCATGTCATGGATCACAATTGCGTGGATCGATGTTCATGTTGTCAATCACAAGATTGTCTGGTCCAGACTCGATTATTTACAGACCGCCGTCATATAGCAAGAATATTGCTGAGTGCGGCGTTAAACAACAAACAAACAAACAAACAAACAACATGCTAATGGTAACATATCGACATGAAACAAAACATATTAGTTAATCTGTGATGACTTGTCAAATGTAACAGTAAACATTATTTATATATCTTTTGTACGTCATAATGACATATATATATACATGCTGTAATTCAACCTAGTTACCTTGTGCAAAATCTCCAATAGCGTTTCAGCGGACAACCAGGAAGTAACAGATATGCAATCACAATACACTGGGGTCGGGGACATTGATCGAGTACACACGCTTCAAGTACCCGAACTGCACAGCAGTGTATTAACGTTGTCCCAACATGTCGGACGTGGAGAAGAGTTTTCTGCCTCGAAAGCCAAATTTAAAGCAAGACAGCTCACGTCCTTGGCGACGTTGTTTGTATACTTCTGTTGCAGCGTCAGTTACATGCAGCATCGTTTTGTTGGTTTTGTTCTTAATTATGACTTGCTACAGTGTCCGAGAAGGCGAACATCCGTCCCCCTCAGAGAACATTAAGTCTGGGGCGGTGTGTTCTGTATGTGATCATCTTGGGCCCGGAATACAGTCTTCTGAGACCTTGTACGACTTGGTCAGAACGCCGAATCATACTCTGTGCTGTCTGAAGGACGGTAATATTTCCTCAGTGTTTAAACAGGTATGTAATAGTGTCTATTACACGATAGGTGTGAATATGTACTTCTGTTATGATTAATCATATTACATAAACAGAAAATACGATTTTGGAGAATCACGTTTTTAAAATGGCTTTGATACTAATGTTTTTTTTACAGATTATTCATTTGCGATCATGTACTTTATCTAAAGAATTATTCACGTTTTAAAAATAAATTCTCGTTGGCATCATGGCGTTTAAGTTTTATCATTATTTGGTTATATCAATGATTTGTTACGTGTCATAATAGTATAGTTTTAATATCAATGGAATATCATGGTGTCATAATCTTACAGTGTTTATGTCAATATCATGTTACGTGTTCTTATCTGGCTAATCCCCTATACATCAGGGACGTGTTATTTTAACCTTATAGTGTCTGTAGACCCGGGTTCGATTCCCGACATGGGTACAATGTGTGAAGCCCATTTCTGGTGTCCCCCGCCGTGATATTGCTAGAATATTGGTAAAAGCGGCGTAAAACCCTACTCACTCACTCACTATAGTGTCTGTATCGTCCATGTCTTTCAGCACGACTGAGTGTTATGATCAGACAAGTTTCATTCATGTACACGTCCTACCAAATCCTCTTTCAAACCAGACACGTGAAGATCCGGGTCAGAAAAAGGTCTTCAGCAACCAATGCTTGCCGTAAAGGGCAAGTGCTTGTCGTAACAGGCGACTAACGGGATCGGGTGGTCAGGCTCGCTGACTTGGTCGATGATGCATGTTATCGATCCCAATCAGGTAGATCGATGCTCATGTTGTCAATCACTAGACTGTCTGGTCCCGACTCGATTATTTACAGACCGCCCCCATATAGCTGAGTGCGGCGTTAACAAACAAACAAACTCACAATTCTTTCAAAACAGTTTTTGTTCTCATAATAATAAGATATTCAATATATTTATCATAGCTTAGAGACACTTTTCCTTCAGACATAAATAAAACTTTAAAGTATCAGCAGAATTAGACAAACAGGATGTTGTTTTGTACCAGTTAACGGTTTTAATGGAGCATTGTTTAATTTGTGTAGAATTCCCAAAACGTCACAGCCCGTTCATCAAAGCAGTAGTGGTGCTGTATACGTACGTTGAAGAAAAGTTGGTTGGTTGGTTTGTTGTTTAACGCCGCACTCAGCAATATTCAAGCTATATGACGGCTGTCTGTTAATAATCGAGTCTGGACTAGACAATCCAGTGATTAATATCATGATCATCGATCCACGCAATTGGGATCGATGACATGTATCATCCATGTCAGCGAGCCTGATCACCCTCCCGTTAGTCGCCTTTTACGACAAGCATAGTCGCTTTTTACGGCAAGTATCGGTTGCTGAAGACCTATTCTACCCCGGATCTTCACGGGTCCGTTGAAGAATATACGTCCCCATCGGCCTGGAGCTCCATCAATCATTCTCCCAATATACGGATATACAATTTGACATCCTTTAAGGCTGTAATACGAAATAGGACTAATGGTTAAGACCTCCCCATGCACACAGGCGCATTATGGCACTACGTGCGTGAGGTCCATTGTTAGCAATGCATCAGCGTCACTGGTATAACCTCCAACGTCGTGTGAATATACAGGACTCAAGCAATTAATATGTCACATAGGAACTCTGCACGGACTTTGATTTGACTTTTGTTAAAAGGGGGCACGGGTGGCCCAGTCGTCTAAGGCGCCGCAATTCGCTGTGCAGAGTTGCGTCCCTTAGGCACGCCAGAAACCTATGATTGTGGCTTCGAATCCCGGTTCGCCCCGATTATGTTTCTAGGTTTGTCAGCACCATACCCGTGCTCGTGGGTTTCACCGACGTGGTAAACGTCTGAAACCTGCATCACTTCGGGCTTTCCTCCCACATTAAGCTGACACGCCGTGATATGACTGGAAAACTGTTAAAAGTGGCGTTAAACCCAACTCACTCACTCACTTTTGTTAAACTATTACATACATCGCAAGGGTTTTTGTTTCATATTTTGAAGAATGTTCAATCTCAAGAAATGACGTCATTGTAGACACTGCGTTCTTCATTTTCCTTCGCGTAGCTATCATATAATGGTTTATCTGCAGGATATGCCAACAATTAAAAAACGATATCCGTTAGGATTATATGCGGACAGAGATGCACATATCAAAGGTCAATTAGGGACTACATTCAGTGTATATAAACCACACATGGCGTCGCCCTGGTCATTCGGCGATCGAGTCAGATTTACCCATCGGGAATCTGGAGAAACTACTGGGATAATGTTATCATTATCAACAGAATAGTCTAATATCCTGAAAATCAGTGTCCAACTATGGCGAAGCTGAGGCATTTTACAAGTTTGGGGACATTTGGAGATATAAATTGCGAAACAATTAAGCGATGACACCACAAGCATCGCCAGTAGGTCTTTGCGGTTTGGAACCTTTTCCCCAAATACAAACAGTTGGATTTGGCGGAAATATGGCCGAATTGTTACCTTGTTTCGTTTTGTCGCTCACCAAGGGTCGCTAAATACATTGTTTTTTCCTAATACAGGATATTTACCAATCCCAAACACACTCGCGTGATAACCTCTTTACATGTATATGTATAATGCAGGACGTCAGAGCTACAGGTATGGTGCTAATACGGTGAATGTTTGATACAGCGCAACCATCACTTTTTAAATACCACTCTCCTAAGGGACGCAACTCTGTTAGGTAAAGTTTTGCCCCTTAAATCTCAGGGCCAGCCTTGATTAACCCCGTACTGATGTGTGTGTTATGACCTGGTTTTCTCATCTTTCAGATACTAGCTGACCAGCAAGCCGGGGCTGTAAATAATGGTACGCCAGAGCCTATAATTTACTGTAGAAGTGTACAGCAACGTACCGCTACCTTCTGAAGCAGCCTGAATGACAGGCATGCTTACCCTTATCGTGAACACCTGGTGTCATGATTTGTTTAAAACCCATTCAAATATTTTCACCGCTATTTTGCCTTTAACGCCCACTGGAATTTGTTTCGGCGGATAATCAAGATTGGTTATTCTCTGGCGTCAAACATTTTATATATATAAGTGAGTGAGTGAGTTGGGTTTAACGCCGCTTATCATTATTACAGTTACATCGCGGCGTGTCAGCTAAATGTGGGAGGAAAGCCCGAAGTGATGCTGGTCTCAGACGTTTACCACTTCGGTGAAACCCACGAGCTGACAAACCTAGAACCATAATCGGGGCGAACTGGGATTCGAACCCACAATCATAGGTTTCTGGCGTGGTTAAGGGACGCAACTCTGCACAGCGAATCGCGATTTGTCGCTTAATTAGCCGTTATTTCATAAACATGAAAATATAACTGTTTTGAGATTTGACCCTACGGAACTGGTTCATTACCAACAGTTAATGCGGCGGTCGGGTAGCCTAGCGGTTAAAGCGTTCGCTCGTCACGCCGACGACCCGGGTTCGATTCCCGATAAGTGTACAATGTGTGAAGCCCATTTCTGGTGTCCTTGGCCGTGATATTGCTGGAATATTGCTAAAAGCGGCGTAAAACCATACTCACTCACTCACCAACAGTTAACGGTACCATACATATGTCATCTTCCGTCTTTAAATCGACATTATATTCTAAATGTTGTGTTGCAGCGGATTCAAGTCAGCATCTTCTTCCAGCATCCTTAGTCAAATTACGACAGAACGTCACTGGAGCTCACCTGTATCTCGACCCGAACTGTTTAAGTGGTAAGTATGTCACTTCCCGTTTTGATACTCTCCACAAACGTGTGTACACACAAGAGCCTTGCGGGTGTTTATGCGAGTGCGCTGTCTCACTTACAGTCGTGACGCCCAGTGTGTATGGAGGCCAGGATCTACTGATCTTGTGTTCAAATCCCATTTCGCAATGATAATGTGGCACTTATTGGTTTGTTTGTATCATACCCGTGCTTGTAGGTTTCACCTAAGAGGTAAATGTCCACGACTTGTATCATTTGGGGTTTGTCTCCAAACACTAAGCTGAGTGAAACATTGTTTCAAGGTTAGTTACACATACCTCACTAACACAAGGACACCGACGGACAAGTGTACGTGAGCATGCCTAATTCTCAGTCCACACACAAGGACAAGGACGGACAAGTGTACGTGAGCATGCCTAACTCTCAGTCCACACACAAGGACATTGACGGACAAGTGTACGTGAGCATGCCTAACTCTCAGTCCACACACAAGAGTGCTGACGGACAAGTGTACGTGAGCATGCCTAACTCTCAGTCCACACACAAGGACACCGACGGACAAGTGAACGTGAACATGTCTAACTCTCAGTCCGCACACAAGGACACTGACGGACAAGAGTACGTGAACATGCCTAACTCTCAGCCCACACACAAGGACACTGACGGACAAGTGTACGTGAGCATGCCTAACTCTCAGTCCACACACAAGGACACTGACGGACAAGTGTACGTGAGCATGCCTAACTCTCAGTCCACACACAAGGACACTGACGGACAAGTGTACGTGAGCATGCCTAACTCTCAGTCCACACACAAGGACACTGACGGACAAGTGAACGTGAGCATGCCTAACTCTCAGTCCACACACAAGGACATTGACGGACAAGTGTACGTGAGCATGCCTAACTCTCAGTCCACACACAAGAGTGCTGACGGACAAGTGTACGTGAGCATGCCTAACTCTCAGTCCACACACAAGGACATTGACGGACAAGTGTACGTGAGCATGCCTAACTCTCAGTCCACACACAAGAGTGCTGACGGACAAGTGTACGTGATCATGCCTAACTCTCAGTCCACACACAAGGACACCGACGGACAAGTGAACGTGAACATGTCTAACTCTCAGTCCACACACAAGGACACTGACGGACAAGTGTACGTGAACATGCCTAACTCTCAGTCCACACACAAGGACACTGACGGACAAGTGTACGTGAACATGCCTAACTCTCAGTCCACACACAAGGACACTGACGGACAAGTGTACGTGAACATGCCTAACTCTCAGTCCACACACGAGGACACTGACGGACAAGTGTACGTGAACATGCCTAACTCTCAGTCCACACACAAGGACACTGACGGACAAGTGTACGTGAACATGTCTAACTCTCAGTCCACACACAAGGACATTGACAGACAAGTGAACGTGAGCATGTCTAACCCTTTACAATTACATATACAATGACGGTGCTGTGCCAACCCCTACCTACGAACATGTACAGACAGGTTTTCACAAGCTTGCCTGACTCTACCATGTAATCATTGATATATGGTCGCTATCTCCGTTCCGTGCAATATAATCTACAAAAGATAAAGTCAGTGTAACTCGGCTAGACCAAACAGGAAGAAGATTTCAATCACTTCTGTCCAGCTGAATAGTTGGGCAATTACACAATGATGTATTTGGCGAAGTGCATAAAGGATCACAAAGACGAACGTTTTTTCGAGATTTTCTATTTTTTCAAATGTCTGAGTGTATAAGGAAGGAGTGTATTTAGATTTTGTAAAGCTGTTGTGTGACGGTCTGTGAGAAAACTTGAGCCCGTAGATTGGGGCTTACGAAGCGTGTATAAAATAATCTCTGCTAAAGTTCTGTCTCTTGTGTGTAAAAGATATATCTGCTGTTATACTGCCACAAAGCTTACAAATTTAGAAAGGAACATTGAAGCATTGCCGTACGCTACTAGTGCTACGTTAGGCAACAAACACTTACCTTCTTATGCACACGGCATGAGTGTCGGGTTGTACCGGTGGGGCAGGACATGCTTAACCATTTCGCGAACACCTGGTGTCATCACTGATTTTCAATGATATATTCATAAAATTTCTATAACTATTTTTTCATTTACGCCCAATGGAAACTGTTAAGGCAAATAGGCGAGACTGGTTATCCTCTGGTGTTGATGTTTATATTTACTCTACGTCCTTACAAAAATCACATATTTACTTTCAGATGGCAGACTCTCGTGGATCGACCAGGACAAGTACGGCACCGCATACTTGTCCGGAATCCGCTACCACAAACATCGCCTCCATATCCCTTCAGCAGGACGGTATCTTCTCTACTCACACATCACATTCACCAGAAAGTTTCCCGGAACTCGCGGAGGCAACAATTTCATCCACAGGATCACACGCTACCACTCCAAGCAGCCAAAATTGGGAGAAGTGAACATTTTGGTCAGCAAAGATTCTTACCCACAATACACCACCCAAAAGTCTAGTTTTCAGTCAGCCATCTTGAATTTGCGGTCACATGACCAACTGGCTGTCCAGGTATCTGACACAGATTCTGTTCATGACAATTCAATGTATAGTTATTTTGGAGTTATTAAACTATGACGATGTGCTGTGAATCGTTGTTTAATCCTTCAATTTAGAAATGAGTAATGGTGGCGCATTCAGTAAAGAGGTGATGTGAAATGGCGTTCAAGATTATTGCTCCACATAGCGATGGACATCTTAAGTCACCGGACCGCCTCGTGGTCTTGTGGTAGAACGTCCGCCCGGAGAACGGAAGTTCGATCCCCGGTCGCGTCGTAGCAAATGACGTTAAAAAATGGTATTTGTTGTTACCCTGTCCGTAGCTCGGCATTAAGGGGCTAAGACAAGGACTAATCGGCTCGGAGTCACTTTTCTGTGTCTGAGTGGGGTATTTATGCTAAACTGCGGCATGGTATCTCAGTGGGCTAGCACTATGAACATTAAGTCCGGACTAGCACAAGCAGCCACCCACACACGTCTCTATATAAGTGCAATAATCTTGGATGCGACGTCAAAACCCCATTTCACCTCACCTCAACTTACGCCATCGAGTGAGTGAATGCTGTTGTTTTTTGTGAAGGCGGAAATGGTACACTGGTCTTTGCGTTTAACAGGTATGTTAAAGGGGCCTGTCGTTTGTATTTACTGCAGTCAGTCTCGATGTACACATCCTCATTCAAAGAGCTACTTCGCGACATCAGCCTGCATACATCACGTGTAACAAAAGCATTGCTATTCAACCACAATGTTTTTTGGTTTGGTTTGTTGTTAACGACGGACTCAGCAATATTCCAGCTATATGACGGCGGTCTGTAAATAATCGAGTCTGGACCAGACAATCCAGTAATTAATGTCATGAGCATTCATCCACGCAATTGAGATCGATGTGCATGTGCATGTGTATATAATTAGTTTATATGTGGCAGGTTACTTCAACTTATCCATCGCAACTGTATGCAAAACAATATATAGACTAGATACAAAATATGGGAACTAATGATTTGAATGTAGCTGGTTTAGATTGCAAATATCATGGCGTTGCATCTGAACGCAGCGTCTCATCACAATAAAATTTCACATGATGCATTGAAAGCACGGGATGCACATGCACACAGACGTCAGAGTGTGAACGCCAATAAGGCTTGGTTGGTTGGTTTGTTGTTTAACGCCGCACTCAGCAATATTCCAGCTATATAACGGCGGTCTGTAAATAATCGAGTCTGGACCAGACAATCCAGTGATTGATATCATGAGCCTCAATCCACGCAATTGAGATCGATGACATGTATCAACCAAGTCAGCGAGCCTGACCACCCGATCCCGTTAGTCGCCTTTTACGACAAGCATAGTCACCTTTTACGGCAAGCATGGGTTGCTGAAGACCTATTCTACCCCGGAATCTTCACGGGTCCAAACACAATGTACAAACCCTCACATGGCCCGATTAAACAGATGCGTTGGATCACCGCCTACAACAACGTCATCCTAAAATGCAGACACTTCAACTTGTTGCACGTGTGCTATAGGCCAACTGGGCTAACATTCCCCAACGTGTGATCCGTACTCTACTGCGTCCTTTGGCTGGTGTGCTTCAGAACATTGACCTCCCTTGACCTTAACCTTTGTCGTTTTCGATGCAATTAACGCGTGTCCACTGTTGAAATATTTGCGATATGCTAAAATGTGAAAGAATAGGGAGGTCTTTAACTTACTGTAAGTAGTATAAAACAGCACTTTGCGTTTCATAAAAACGACACCCAACCACAGATGTATACATACAAACATTCAACGTCTAAATTATACACGTGAATACTAAACTATATACAGAGAGACATACATTGTTCTTAAGTCTTGCTTTGAACATGGATTACATACAGTGTTAAACATGTCTAAAGTATGCGCAAGTTGTTCCTTTGGAATAATGAGAGACTATATAGCAAAGTATTGATTGAAAGAACAACGCATAACAACATTGCATTACATATAACATATGATGTCATTTGTATGAACACGATATCCTTCGGAGAATATTAAAGGTTTAGGAACGCAGTAAAGTAAACTCAGTTTGATTAAAAAGCACTGGGAACTGTTTCGTGTTTGAAAGGAGATAGAAATTTAGGCACACATTCTATGCTTGAATGAACAGAAGGCAGGGTTACTGGGAAGACACCCTTACACCATTGTTGTGGTCACTTGTAATTATTCCGGTCTGCTGCACACCGATAATACTGTGTGTACGGGAGCTCAACCACAGGACTGAAGCACTACATGTCTGTGCTATTTTAAAGGTAGGGATAGTTTCGCTCTACTTACCAAGGACGTCAGTCTGAGCGTATACACTGAATATATACTATATGTACCCCCTAGGAATGCTCTTTCGCTGTGGTTTGATGCAGAATGTGAAAATATGAAATGCTAACATACAAACTGTTAGACATGTTTAGAATTAGTGGAGATATACACACTTTAAAGAACTTTCATGTAGTCCGCAATAGATTTAGAGAAAAAGGCCGACGAAAAAAGGATATATTTGAAGAATCTGCTCTTGTAAATATTCTTAATTCCTGTAATGATGAGAGAAATTCAACTGATGTGGATTTTGTTGCGTTCTGCAAAGCTGTTATTACGGAGCATCCAGTTAATAGCATGAATTGTCATGTGTGTAACGATGACGGTGTTGACAGTTTACCAAATCAAGATATAACGGCTAAAGAGGTTTTAGAAGCCATAGATTCCCTCAAATGTGGTAAAGCAGCTGGTCCTGATGGTATTTTACCAGAGATGATAAAGTATGGCAGTGATGTTTTAATTCCACATCTTCTTGTTCTTTTTAACAACAACTCTATGCAGACGTAGTTTTCCAGATCAGTGGTCTAAAGTAGTATCTTCCCTCTCCATAAGACAGGTAATGTTCATGTTGCTAACAACTAAAGAGGCATTTCTTGATGGATATTTGTGGTGAGGTTTCCTCCCAGGGTTTGAATACTAGATTTAAACATTTTGTTGAGGATGTCAAGCTGGCTTCCGAAAGAGATATTCCACAGTGGATAACCTCTTTATTCTCCAATCATTAGTGCAGAAATACTTGTCTCCGTCAAAAGGAAGATTTACTGTATGTTCATAGACTTTCGGAAAGCTTTCGACTCTATTAATAGGGATCTTCTTCGGTTTGTTCTGCATTCAAATGGAATTCATGGGAAAATATTTCGAATCATACAGGACATTTATTCTAAAACTATTGCTTGTGTTAAAATTTCAAAGAGTAGCATCTCAGTGGTTTACGACAAGGGTGCTTCTAAGTCCTCTTTTGTTTTCGTTATTCGTAAATCAGTTGGAAGGGGACATCCAACAGTGTGTAGGATATTTGTACATGGATGATTTACTGGAATTAGTTCTTCTCTAAAATGCGGATGACTTGTGTATTTTTGCAGATTCAGTTCTTGAACTTCAAGAAGATTGAAGTACTGTACACATTTTGTAACAAATGGGGTTTAAAAGTTAACACGGATAAATGTTGCATACTTGCAGCGTCTATAAAACGTAAGTATAGACGACCTTCAACAAAAAACTAGAACGTGACCTTTGTTGACCGGGGTGGGTAATGGAGCCACCAAGTGTGTTTGACATCGGGGTCATCCGCTCTCGGCTGATCACATGATCTGGGACAGTGTTGTTTATCATTCCGTTCATCTTATGTGCATGAGTTTGCATTCGGAAAATACCATTGTTCTTGTAGGCAAAACAAATAATAAAATTAATATAGAAATAACATTTTGAATTCGTTGAACTCAACCTATATCCTTGAACGAAATATCCCAATGGAGCCTGTCAACAATTATAATTTAAAAAGATTTGGACGGCTTTGAAGTTGTCAAAGTCTACAACAGATATTCAGTCTAATATACCAGGTGAGACTGTAATATAATATATTTCTGTCTGTCTCTGTCTGGTGATAAACACACACGTTGATGACAATGGGATGATTGTGTAATGGTCGGCTAGATTACTTTTGAACGTATGTGAACAATATTTCAAGTGTTCATTTGTCAAGACTCATATTCCCACTGTTTATGTTTCTAAGTTTGTTAGTAAAACGTCATCATGCTCCTTGATTTCATTAAAATACATCACTTCGGACTTTACGCCAATATCATGCTGACACGCCGTGACTTAGATTCCCGCATGCTGTAACCATGGTACTTGGGATACAACAGTTAAGCACGATGCCAACAGTTTGAAGGTCAAACTTACAAGGTCAATTCTGAAGGAACGCCTTTAGCTATGTTTTACTACACAGGGAGTTAGTGAATTTGATTTTACGCCGTTTTTAGTAATATTCCAGCAATACCACGGCGGGGGACACCAGAAATGGGCTTTACACATTGTACCCTTGTCGGGAATCGAACCCGGGTCTTCGGCGTGACGAGCGAACGCTTTAACCACTAGGCTACCCGACCGCCCCTTTACTACACAGAACAAATGTGTTGTCGTTGCAAGTGTGATTACATCAGAATATAGGTTACACATTTCAAAGCTACTATCTGAGTTGTAATTCCTACTAAGATTTGTGAAAAGTAAATAAAACTGTTAATACAATGAATTAGCCGACAGCAATTTGGGGAGTACATTTTAAATACCGGAGCGGGGCATCTGAACGCAAAATCTGATCACAATGAGTGAGTTAGGTATTACGACGCGCTTAGCAGTATTCCAGCGATATCACGGTGGGGGACACCACACATGGGCTTCGAATCCGGGTCTTCGGCGTGACGAGCGAACACTGTAACCACTCGGCTAACCGACCGCCCCTCTGATCACAATGAAATATTGCATGCACAACACGTGACGCACGTGCACACAGAAGCCAAAGTACTTTCACGGTCACATACGCTACATAAAGGGGATTTCAACGTCTAAATGTTAACTCGAGCATAATATATAATTAATGTTTATGTGTGGCAGTTACTCCAACCTCTCCATCACAACTGTATGCAAACCAAATTATAAACTAAACAAAAAATAATGATTTGAATGTAGCTGTCGTTAAGGTGTAGATTGCCAATACCGTGGCGTTGCAACACAATAA